TTTTTTTTTTTTCTTCTTTGGAACAAGTTATTGAACAGCCAAGAATTTCTAACAAAATGTGGGTCATGTGAACAGGATATGAAGAAACCACAGTAAGTGGAAGAAACAATAGATGGGTCGCGCGAGTCTTTTGTTGGGGTAGGCCAGGGGGTTCTCAAACGTTTTCCGCTGAACACCCCCCCCCCCGCTTTGAAAATATTTCAGGCTGTGACGACAAAGTGATAGCAAATTACTGTACATACTCTAAAATGTTCGTTATTGTAATATTTTTAGACTCCTTACGGCCCCCCTTTGTCCCCCGCTGGGACAGTGGCAAGTCTTCGGTTTAAACTGCTAAAATCGGGGATTCGATTTCCCCTCGGTGGACACAGCATATAGCCCGATGTGGCTTTGGTATAAGAAAAACACGAACGCTCCCCCCCCCCTCCCTTTTGAGATGGGACCTCAGTTTGAGAAACGCTGGGGTAGGCTATTCTGTTACCGAGGGGTTGCACATTTCCTAAATGAATAAACTCTCTCCAGTGACTCACGCACGCCCTCTTTCGATTTCTGTCTCTCCACATATACTATATAATATTTTTGTGGTGGTGAAACTAATTTCCTGTGAGGGACAGTTAACATGGAAAAGTTAAGCCTTTTCAAGCCTCATATATCCCCCATCCATACTCTGGAAGAAACTATCAGAAGACTCAAAATTAGAGAAACTAATTCAAAGTTAAATCGAAACATTCCCGTGTCTTCTTCAGTGACACACATTCAGAAGAAAGACACAAAAAGTTTGTCGAAATTAGCTTCTCCAGTTTTACACGTTATTGTGTTGTCCTTTTATTACTTAGCCAGATATCGTTCGAAAAATGTTTTTTAAAATGTCTTTCTTCGTCACATACTTTTTTTGAAAGCACGAAAGCAGTAAAGCTGACGTACAAAATAACCTCGACAGCATATGTCTCCCTGTGGGACAGCGGTAAGTTTACGGGCTTACAACGCTAAAATCCGGGGTTCGATTCCCTGAGATAGCCCAATGTGGCTTTGTTATAAAACAAAAAACCTAGCACAAATGACTAGGCCTTTTTTTTTCCAGACTACGTTATTAATGGATGTTACTCAATGTACTTGTTATTTCAATTTATTGCAGTTTTTTTAATATTATCCCAACTTGTCAATGAATATGGATTACGATTCAGCAGTGGTATGTGTTTAACGTTGATAGGCCTAATTACTGAGATGAATGTATTTATATGTAGTAACTGGGAAAGGACTATTAGCTATTTACGTAATCAAGCCTTCCATATCTAAGCTATCGCCATCTTGCCGGAGGTATCGTCTGAAAACCAGAATAATGACACACTGTGTTGTAACGAACTGAAAATACAACCAAGGGCAAACGAAAACAATTTAACTAAAATATAACAACAGAAAGCCCAAATAAAACTTTTACAATAACTAGAATACAAATTTTATCGCTTGGAAAAAAGAAAAGTTAGTAAACCTGTGCCTGGCCACGGCTGGTGACAAACACTGATAAACGATACAACATAAATAAATAAATAAAGGAATTAGGGAAAACATCGAGAAGAAAAAACAACAACTAAATTCCGAAAAAACACAATATTCCAAAATTAAACCACTTGAAGATCAATAAGAATTTCGAGCAGTATTTCTATTTATAATCTCGCGAACGAACTCGCTTTCATGATCAAGGAATGTTTTTGCAAAAAAAAATATCTGCATACCACCCACCGCAAACTTTTGGGTAACCATTTTAACAACGAATATGGGGTTGAGCGTCACATTATAACGTCCCCCACAGCTGAAAGGGGTGAGCGTGTTCGATTACTGGGATTCTAACCTACTAACCCCAGATTTCCGAGGTCGAACGCCCTAACCACCAGGCCATGTCAGCTCCCTCCCTCCCCAGTTAACAACACACCAATTTACATATTAAAAAATTTCCCGCCATCTGCTGACAACATTTCCATCATCCTCATTCAATAATTTAAATTTACTTTTTTTACATTTAATTATTTCTATAGATTCACGTATATTCATACCAATTAAATTTCCAGTTTGTGCTAAAATAACAGTTTTCCCCATTGAATTGTGTGATTAGTTTCACTAACATGTTATGCTAAAGGTGAAATAGTAATATTATTTTAAACATTTCTTTTATGTTCATTCAGTCTGAATTTTAAATTTCTTCTAGTTTGTTCTATATAAACTTTTTTTACATTCACATAATATTTTATATATGCCAAATTTTCCTATTAAATCAATTTTATCTTTAGTTGTATTAAG